ATGATATTGGTAAGTTTCAGCAGCGGCTGAATCAGGACGCCTGGGGCAGAGCAGCTGGGGTGCTGCTGGGTTGGTCCAGTAGTGCCGAGGAGCGGTGCTACTGGAGCAACCCAGCAGCACCCCAGCTGCTCTGCCCCAGACGTCCCCAAGTCAGCCGTTGCTGAAACTGACCAGCGCTGACTACAGGAAGCCCGAGGCACAGTTGCTCTGCCCCGGGCTTCCTGGAATCAGCTGCTGATCAGTTTCAGCAGCAGCTGACTTCGGGTTCTTAAGTTGAATCTGTATGTAAGTCAGAACTGGTGTCCAGATTCAGCGGCTGAATCTGGATGCCAGTTCCGACTTACATACAGATTCAACTTCAGAACAAACCTACAGTCCCTATCTTGTACGTAACCCGGGGACTGCCTGTAAATATGAAAATGACCACCACAAATATAACATTTGTGTGTTCATGTTTAATAATAACATTAAACCAAATTAGTTTCAATTCTGTCTACCTATAGTTTACACAAAATACAATCATAAGGCAGACAAGTCTAAGATCTAGGAGGGAGTGTTCCTATGCTATACAGGCGTCCCCGCTATAAGTTGCCCCGGCATACATCCGTTCCACACTGAAGTCACTGATGCTTGTAGGAACTGATGCATTATAAAAGTTCTCCCATTCCCTGCTCTTAAGTCATGCAAAAAAAACCTTCCAATTAGTGCAAATGGAAGTCAGCTGTGGGGAAAAAATTCCCCACTTTAAGTTGTTTTACTATTAAGTCCAAGTTTTTAGAACATTTCTAGCAGTCAGAGCGAGGACAGCCTGTAGCTATTTACTTTTAACACAAAGAAACAGCTCTTTTGACCACTTTGGTACAGACTGATTACTAGCTTTATAAAACATATCCTGAAACACCAGCTCAGTGAAATACCAATGGGACTATGCATAATTAATATCCTTAAAGAAGTCTAATGATTAAAGCACTGTGCCAATATGAGGGTTTTTTTTAATTTTAATAATATTGATTTACTCACCTGCCCCCCACAGCAAAATCAGAAATTGCATAATAATAGGACTTGAGAACTTTTGGATCATTAAAAACTTCATCTCCGAAGGTGTTCAGACGATTAAGGGTCACTCGGATGTCAGTAGCCGTCACCCATTCCTAATGGAGATAAAATCCCCACCAAAAGAGAATTATCCCACCACACAAAGCACAAATGCACTATAGCATTCCTATCATTAACACTATTCAAATACATTTTAGAGTGTGCTGTCTGCAAGTCCGTTTGTTCAAGTACCCCCCTTTAACGGTAAGAGCTAGGGCTACCAAATTTGGTATTCAGCTTCCTCTTCTAACATAAAGCAAGGTCAGGGTTTGGTTGTGCCAGAACCAGAAGTTCCGGGAAAAGGACAGTTTTCCATAACATGCAAAGGGAGGAGCTGCTGTAAAGAGAGATGCAATATGTGAGTGTCCACTGGGGGCAGTGAGACCGCAGCAGAGAACTATTCTGCAGTGTCCCCCACGGGACAGCATTATCACTAAGGACAGGGAAGGGCAATAATTTTTAACAGGGGGTCGAGGGCTGCACTCCTCCATGATATTAATGGAGGAGGTGCAGGGTCTGGGATGGAGGTTGGGTGCAGAAGAGAGCTTGGGGTAAGGGATTGGGATGCAGGAGTTTGGGTTGTGACCTAGGGTAGGAGGGGATGGTGATCTGAGGCAGAGGACTGGGGTGCCAGATCTGGGAGGAGGTATGGGTTCAGGAAGGGGGCAGAGGGTTTGGGTATGTGGAGTACAGGGGCATGAGTGGGGAATGAGGGGCAAAGGGTTGGGAAAGAGAGGGGCTGGGGTGCTAGGGGCAGGCTCTGGCCAGGAGACTTACCAGCCAGCAACCCAACCTGCCTGCCTGCCAAGCTAAATGCTTGTAGAGCATAAAATGTTTCTCAGTCAGCCAGCCTGCCTGCCTGCCCCATGCCTCCATAGACTGCAGGGCCATGTGTTGTGTGAATAACTGAGCTGGAGAGGAGAGGAATGTAGTGCTTCATGTGCCTGTTATTCAAACAAGCAGCTCCCATTGCCCAGTTTCTTGCCAGAAACTGGCCAATGGGATTGTGCTGGGGGCAGGGCCAGTGCTTGAAGCCTTCCCCCTCCTTTCCAGGATCATAGTTTTGAAAGAGAAACAGCCCTGCAGCTGCTTTTCTGAGCGGTCTGTGGGGCTGCGAGGTTAGTAGGGGAAACTGTCTGGGGGTTCCCACTGTGTTTGTGGGCCGGATCGGTGGCTTGGCAGACTGGATGCAGCCCACAGGCAATTATTTTGCCCAGGCCTGACCAAGGGAGAGGACAGTAGGGCTGAGGTCTCCCATCTAGCCAGTGAGCACACCAGTAAGTAGCCCCCCTACTCCAAACCCTTCCCAACATCCTGACCCTTAATTGCAGCGACCCCTTCCCCAACAGGGCAGACCCCACGAGCCTACTACCCTCCCCACCAAGCAGACAGCCTGCAGGCTGTGTGTGGGTGGGTGCTAGAGGCTGGGACCCTGGCTTTTCCCCCACTGACAGGCTGCAGGCCACAAGGGGATGGGGAAAGCCTCCAGAGCCTGTCCCCTACACAGAGGGTCTGCAGGCCACAGGGGAGTTCTGAAGGCTGGGGCTGGCCCCGAGATCCTCCCCTTCCCTGACATAGGCTAGAGATCATAGGGCAGGCAGTGGAAGCCAGGGCCGACCCTCGCCTTCCTCCCCCTGCTGCCCTGTCCAGTTGCAGACCGGAGAGTGCAACCTTGCCCGCCACCCCGGATGAGCTGCTGCTACAGCAGCACCACCCTTGCTGCCCTAGTTAACCCTGGTAAGCTCCCCTCTTCCCAGGCTCCTAGCTCCCCTGCCCTGAGTCCTGCACCTCCCACTCCCTGCCCTCTCTCCTGCAGCCCCTCCCCATGCCTGAGCCTCACCATACATCCAACCCCCTACTCTGAGTCTCCCGCTCCCACCACCCTGCCTCTCCCACCCCCCTCTTCTATACAAATCACGTACATTTTTCTTTTAATTTACAAAAACAACCCCAAAACTAGGGGTGTTAAACATTGTGTATTTTAGTAATTGTGTAGCTGCAATAATTTTTAGCTATTACACGGTTACTACAATACTCCCTGGGGGTGGGGCAGTCAGCCAGTGCACTCCTGGCCCCACTACTGGGGAGGCCCCTGCCAGCATGTGCTGCTGCCTCTGTATCAGAGGCAGCAGCATGGTATGGCAGGGGGAGCCAGTTTAAAAATCGGCTTCCCATGCAGACCGGCTCCTACCTGCTGCCCAGCACTGCTGCCTCTGATACAGCTCCTTACGGACAGAGGCTGCTTCAGCATCCTGCCTGTCCCCCAAACTTCCACCTGCACAGCTACTTAAAAGCTGGCTTCCCACAGGCAATGGCTCCCACCTCAGTATCAGAGGCAGAAAGGAGGAGGGGTTTGCGTGTAGTCATTTGGATTAAGGGCTTATCAGTTAATCATTCAAACTAGGGGTGTAATAATGTAGCCAATTAACCAATTAACCTATAAGCAAGTGCTTATAGGTTAATGCTATAGACTGCATGCATTCCCCCCCTGGAAATATTTTAGCAGGCTGGCCAGCAACGTGGCTCAGTCCTGGCTTGCAACGCATCCAGGACCTACCCCCACTGCAGCTCTGCATTTAAAGTCTATTAGCAGCTAGGCTGGCAGGCAGGCAGCCTGGCTCAGTTCCGGCTCCCACTGAGTCCAAGAGCACAGACTCCTCCTTCCCAGAAGGGGGCTGCTGCTGCCTCTGTATCAAAGGCAACAGCATGGGGTGACAGGCTGCTGGTTTTTAAACTGGCTCTCCTCACAGACCAGCTCCCGCCTGGCATCCCACGCTGCTGCCTTTGACACAGAGGCGGCAGCACGTCATGCCAGGGGGCTCCTCGGAAGTGGGGCCTGAGTGCCCTGGCTGCTGGCCCTGCCCCCAGGTACTATAGAGTAGTCAACTGACCAATAAGAATTCATGAGGTTACTCAACTATTCAATTAACCCAAATTTAACATCCCTAGTTTAAACAGCTATACACTAACATCCGTACCCCAAACATTATTATAGTTAAGGACCCAAGCAACGCCAGGTACATCTGCTAATATTCACATAAAAACAGGGTTGGTGTCAAGAGTCAGTCATGAAGCCAATCCATGATTTTACCTCCTCACCTCCTGAAAGCCTGCCCTAAAACTTTCATTGTTTCCTCCAAGTTTGAATGTTTTCTCTTGTAAACCCCATTCACGTACATTTTCCAGGCTCCTTTACAAACTCTACATGCTTTCTCTAGTCTTCTTAAGTCTTTATTGCTATGTACTAAGAAGCAGAAGGAAGTATCTTAATCAAAAAGAGAACAAGATACATATGTTTTTGCATCTGCAAAACTACACAGCAGTTCCCATGAAAAACAGGCCAGTAAGAACACAAAACAAATCTAGTGTATACTAAATGTGCAGCCAAACACCTCCAGACACATACACACATCTGGATGGGAGAAATAGGGAAAAACCACTTTTCTTAGAAGTATACTTAGAATATAAATACAGATGAGGCAAGCATACAGTTTCTAATCTCAATCTATTTTCCTTCATTATCTCTGAAATGCTGTACTCTCTACTATATGCATCTGCTAAGCCTACCAGTATACCAGCATATCAGAGATACGGATTTAATCTCTTACAGGGTTTCAACAGTGCACAGATAACAAAGGACTTGCATGCCTCTTATCCAATTCCTACTCGCATACCTGTAACACAGGACTGTTGTCAAAGTTGTAGGCACTGGGCCGCCCCTCCAGTGTTGAAAAAGCCACATTGCCACCTGTGAGTGGAGAGATGTCACTGAACTCATCTGTACAGAGTGCCTGCTGTTCATCCTCCCCGGTTCGGATAAAGCCTCGGTTTAATTTCTGATATGTATTCTCGCAGGACCCACTGTAGTACTGGTAAGGCACCCACGGGCCATCTTCCCTGGTACGTTTGTAGATGGCAAAACTCTCGGGCCGGCTGGTGTGAAACTTCAGGCGCACATATGTGATGTCAAAGGCCTTTCCTGCAGATAAAACAAACACCCTGGACATGAGACTCAAATGGTTAAGCAGAGTGAAAGAGTTCTGTACTGTATTTTGTTACTTAAACAAGGTGGTGCCAACCTTGTCGGTATAGCTGACACGTAACAAAATATAAAATTCATGACAAAGCCCTAGTGAAAACCTCACATCTCAGCTCAAACTGGCAGAACACACAAAAAGACAAGTTCAAGTGTCATTAAGCAGGTCTGTGATGGATATCAACTCCATCTGTTTGATAGCTTTGTGCTGCACTTCAGAACATTTATGTAATTTCTACATTGAACTGTACTAAACTTCAGACCACTGTACCTTAAAATATATATGACCTCCACCCACACAAACTGTTGGTTAGGTTGAGCAACATTCACATTTGTTTTCATGAGATCTGAAGAACTGCAACAAAAACTGCTAAAAAAAATATCATCTCAGGATTAATTATATTTTAATTTTGTAGATCGTAAGAACAAGGATGTTTTCTTATTATAAATCCCAAACGCACCACTGCCCAAATCCTACTGAGTCCAAAGATAGCAACTGGTTCACAAAACTCATCTCTGTGAAAGCTATTGATGGTTAGAACTCAGGAGTTTTGGGAAAGGAGTAATTTATCATCATTTAGAAAAAAGAACATCAATACTTTCAATATTGTTCCTAGCAGTATGCTCCTGAACAGCACAGCCCACATAAATCAGACAGTCACAAAACAGTGCATTAATGCTTTATTCCTACAAGAGCATCAAACTTTGCAAGAAAAAGCCTCATCTGTTCTGTAAGATGGTGATGATGCAGTGCTGAAAGAGCAACTCACTCCTACAGAAAGTCTCTTATAAAGAGAGGAACGTTCACCTGAGTATTAATGGGATGTTGCTGCAGAAGTGCATTCATTAATCCAAAGATTTTCCCAAAGGTTATGCTGTTCCAGCCCAGTAGGCAATTTTCTGTATGGTGACCCACACCACAGTGAGGCATCAGAGTCTAGTGATAGAACTGTCCATAATGCAGCTAAGTAAGGTTACATTTACACTACCACAGTAAGTAGATCTACAGTACGCAACTCCAGCTACATGAGTAACAGCTGGAGTCAACATACCGTAGATCAATTTACTGTTTGTCTACACCAGGCAGGGTCAATGGGAGACACTCTTCCATTGACTAATCGTACTCTTCTTGTCTGGATAGAATATCTGGGTCAACTAGAAAGTGCTTTGTGGGTATTTTGGTGGTCTTCTAGACCTATTAAATCAACAGCCTGAGCATTAGCAATAGTGCAGATGGAGACTAAGAGACAGAACTTGCTGACTCCTGGATGTAAGTACACTGCAGATTGGTTGGGCTAGAAATTCCTAAAACTATGATGCAGATTCAAGAAGCCAGACATTCACTGTACAGTGCCTGCCCACATGTCATGTGAAAAGCTTAGGCCTATTGTATTTAAGATATAAAAGCTCTGTCACATGCATTAATGAGCCATGCATATTTAAAAAATTACATCCCAGATAATTACTCCTCACTGTTCTAGTGTTTGATCTAGGGATGCAAGAGAGTAGTTGATTAGTCGACTACCTGATAAGCCTAGACTTATTGGGTAGTTGAGTTGACTACTCGAACCCCTCAACCTCCACCTTGCTGCCTCTATATCAGAGGAAGGGTGAGGGGAGCAGGATCCGGTGCTGAGAGGAGCCAACTTAAAGCCGTTTCCCCCAGCACTGTCTCTGCATCCCTGTCCCCCCACTGCTGCTTCTAACAGCAGGGAGTTGGGACCCCTCACAGACAGGGGCTGCTGCCGCAAAGCAGCCTCTGTCCACGGCCAGGTGCTGCCAGCTGGGAAGTCAACCTGGCTCAGTCCCAGCTTGCGCCGGGACCAAACCCTACTACGGCTCTGTAACTTAAAAGGCAGTAGGAGATGGGCAACCTTTCCCCCTGGCTCCTACTACATTTTAAATTGCAGAAACGCAGCGCGAGCAGGGACTGAGCTGGGCTGCCCAGCTCCTACTACATTTAGGAGCTGGGCAGACAGGCAGCCCGGCTCAGTCCCAGCTCACGCTGGGTCAGGGACCAAAGCCCACTGTGGCTCTGCAATTTAAAATGTAGTAGGAGCTGAGGAACAGGCTGCTTGGCTCCCATTGCCTTTTAATTTGCAGAGCCATAGCGGGCTTTGATCCTGACGTGAACCAGGCTGCCCTCCCCTATCGAGTAGTCGATAAAAAGTCTATTGACTACTTGATTACTAAAATAACCTAATTTTAACATCCTTAGTTTGATTATTTCCTGTGAATACACAGTCAAATGCATTGCTGTGAGCAATACTGTATTAACCTAATACTGACGGATACACCAGCAGAGTTACAGGGGACAACTGCTTAGCACAGGGCTCTTCACTTTTTTGAAGCCTGGGCCACTTAGACACAAACCCTTCAATGTGAGAGCCACATCCCCGAGAACCTGCCCCATCCCCAAAAAGCCTTGGCCTGCCCACTCCATCCCCTCTTCCCACCCTCACTCGCTTTCACTGGGCTGAGGTTGAGGGTTGGGGTACAGGAGGGCATGAGGTGGTGTGGGCTCTGGGAGGGAGTTTGGGTAAAGGAGGCAGTTCCAAACTGGGGCATAGTCTTGAGGTGCAGAAGGTAGCGTGGGCTCTGGGAAGGAGTTTGGGTGCAGGAGGGGGCTCCAGGCTAGAGCAGAGCACAGGAGGTGGTATGGGATGTTGGCTCGGGGGTGACAAGACTGGCACCTGGTACAGGGTGTAGAAGAGGGTAAAATGCAGGAGAAGGCACAGGGGTGATGGCTTAGGGCTATGGCAGCGGCTTGAGGTGCAGGAAGAGGTATGAGGTGATGGCTCCAGGAGCCGGCTATGGGGTGCAAACTCAGGGCTGAGGCAGGGCTTTGGAGGTACAGGGAACAAGGGGGCAGCACGCACTTTGGGCAGCCCTGGACCCATGTTGCTCCCAAAAGGGGCCAATGTGCCCTTGTGGCCCCTGGGGGGCACACTGCTTTGTGCTCTGTCCCTTTCTGCAAGCATGGCTCCTACAACTCCCGTTGACCACAGATCCTCATCCCCCAGGGTGGTGTTTGCAGGCAGAAGCAGCAGAGAGACACCCTCTCCAGCTCCTCATAGGGCCGCGGCGATACGCTGGCCACTTCCAGGAGCACCTTGCCCCTGCTGCTATGCACTTTTTAAAATAAATAAATAAATAAATCAAGAGTAACCAGAACCCTTATTGCAATCACAGAATTAATTCTCTTTCACTCCTACATGCCTGCCTGGACTTTACAATTTGGATCAAAGAGCTTATGCTCATTTAGCTTATCCCCAGGGAAAGGCAGAACAAGCCCTGGCCAATAAACTTATAGAATCTCTGAAAAGACTTTCAAATCAAGGATAATTTAGGGATTTACAAACGAAAGATGTTACCCTCTCTCCTCAGTAAAATGACCTTCCCACCCCATACTTATCTCCCAACAGGTTTGTGACAATCAGCAAATAATCCTCCCTAATGGATTCTTTCCAGTGACTGGAACATCTACCCCCACAGAGCACACAGGAACCACCCAGAGGAATCACAGTCCCAAGAAAATATTTAACTTCTCAACGTTCTGCTACATTCTTTGCTTTGGTCTTTGGCATTCCAGCCCTGTATCAAAGATGAAGTGCAGATGTTTCACTGAATGCCATTAGAATGGAATACTCAAAATGGACAAATACTGGCTGCATTAAGAGCTACAGGGTGTGGAGGTGGCAGAACAGAACAATAAGAATCCAGCTTTCGTTCACCAGTTGCCAAGTCAAAGAATTCTGCTGAAACCTCCTACATGGAGAAACATTTTTAACTGCTTCACATCTCTGGGGGTGGGGGTGAGAAATCCCTTCCGCACTGGAAATGCAATCGGGTGCTGGGCTGTTCAGAAACATAAGTACTTCTGTTAACACAGTTCTAAGGAATTTCTGCCAAACCTTGCAACTTCCACCATGGACAATAGTTACTGTGTGCATTGGCTCCCTTTCCTCAGCCTGGATTACAAGCAGGGGAAAATGGAGTTTATCAATGGTCTGTCCACAACTGAAAGAATTATTTCACTACTACTCAACCATTAGAGAATGGGCTGTAATACGGGCTCACTTGCCTTGCCAGCATGAGTGGGAACATCACCACTGTGAACCTGCACACAAAAGAAAATAGTTAGCAGTGGAGTAATGGCAGATTGTTCTTTAGTGGAATAAACAGTTAAAGCGATATTGGGAAAGGACTGTTAAAATGCTTCAATTACCTTCCTCATGGGGCTAGAGACTAGTTGGCTGTGAGAAAAGTTCCCAGGATGAGGTGTACAGCTGCTCAACAGCTGTTATTGTTCCACCTCAGTGGACAGATTGTGTGCACACAATCTCACTAATCAACAAATCCTGGAGCTAAATATATGCTGGGTTTTGCATTAACTACAAACTGACAACTACCATATAAAAAAATTAAAGCTACATACATATTAAAACTTATAAAGGAGCTTAGATAGGCTGATTAAAGCAGCATTTATGGCAATCACTGGTCACTTCTTTAGAACAGGAACTCTGGAATGGTTTTAACTGACTGAAATAGACATTCAGGGCAGACGAGGCAGGACAGCTTAAGGTACACAACTCCAATTACGCAAAATGCATAGCTGGATTCAGCTTACCTTAAGCCAAGCATCCACACAGCAGGAGGCTGACGGGAGCAAACACTCCCTTTCATGTCCCTCAGTATTGGATTTACAGGTCTATACTAGACCCGCTAAATTAAATGCTAGAAGATGGCCCTCCAGAACATCAATAGTCTGCTAAGTATAGACGTGTCCTTAAGGACTTAGCTCCATAAACTGTTGCACTGATTTAATGTCAGATATCTTTAATCAAATTTTAGATAAAATAAACCTCTGGGCTATGCTTAAAAAGTTAGCTCAACCTAGCTGCATCACTCAATTTTCCACTTTGAGTACTGTTGTAAAGATT